GGTGAATAATCTTGTGTCAAAAATTTATTATTATATTATTATTTTTTTCTTTTTTTAACAGCGAGTTATTTTTGTTTTACCCTCGTTTATCTGTTGTTTACTGATTTTAATTTTGTTTTTTTTTATTAAATGGTAATTCTGTGATTTTTATGTACAGTACTTCTACTTGGGTTTTTTTGAGATTTAAATGTAGATTTTATTATTTTATACCTTTCCAGTAGTGATTTCTTACTGTATAGTTGGACTTTACTGAGTAAAAAACAGATTTTTAGGGTATTCATATTAGTTTTTACTGTGTTAAGAGTAGATTTAACGGTGTATAATTACCGCGCAAAAAATAGCTTTTACGGTATTTTTACAGTATATAAATCACATTTTACTGCGTAAAAGGCAGATTTTACAACAGTTTTTACACAAATACAGTTGGATTTTATTATATAAAGCAGAGTTTGTAGTATAGAAAGAAAATTTTACATTATTGTTTTTACAATGTACAATTAGATTTTACTGTTTAAAGCGTAAAAGTACAGTAAATCGCAGGATTTTCTTAGTACTCACGTCGAATTTTCCCAGTTTTGCTTTCGATTTTACCTCTTTAAGTGCTGTTTTTTTCGTGTTAATTATGATTTTACAGTATATAATGAGCGTGTATGGTAGCATTCCGACATCCAGACGTGTCGTCAGCTAATTATAAGAACTTAAACACGATTTCTTTACAGTTAAAATCCTTATCTTATCACTGAGTAACAACATGTACTGTGCATAAATCGAACTGTAACTAGATAGTGCTGCATCACATCTGATTGGAATTATAGATGCACCAACAGCTCTTGTAAGTTTAGAAGTTAATGGGATCAGTTTTGATTTGTAACAAGTCTTTCTCTCTCTACTAAGAGATCAAATTAGCTTAATTGTAGCAGAGAAAAAAAAAAGAGGGGGCAAGAAAACACGATTAACTGATTACTTTCAGTTAAGTTTTTCTTATTTACGAGGGTGTGTTCGTGTGTCTGCCCTCAGTAAAAAAAATTCGGTGTGTATATGTGGTGTTATTTAAGAATTAATTGGAAAATCTCGTAATAAAATCCTATTTTTACTGGCGTGAATCGAACCGCAGCTAAGGATAAGGCGCGTGTTCCTGTATAAATTTCCTGCAGGAAATAATCATTTTTACTTAATTTAGGATCGTTTCTAACTAAAAAATAGAATAAAAAGGAATTTATTAAAGCGTAAAATATGCAAAATAAGTAATAATGATGAGGATGATTGTTGTTTCATCCATTCTCTGATTGATGATACGTAATAACTGAAACGTGTCGTAAATTTTAACTTATCATCACTCATTACAGAATCTTATACTTTATATTAAAATAAAATTTAAAAAATAAAGGAAAAAAACAACAGAAATTTAATTGTTAGAAAATTATTCTGCGCTGTATTTATTGTAGGGAATCACGTAGCTACATACGTTGATGTTTACTCTTGCAATTCCCCCCAGCATCTCTCCATTCTGAATTGATTATCTTCCAATTTATAGTATTTATTGTAATATTGTAAGCACTTCTCCTATTTCTGGGATACGAAATAAAGCTTACAGTGCTTGAACTTTTGCAAAATTCCCTTATCTACAGCATCACACCCCTCATTTCGAGTTGATTTTCTTTTATTTTAGAGCATTCGTGATTAATTTTCAAGCACCTCCTGTTTCTAAGCATTATTTAAGATCCGTAAAACCTCTTAAAATGAGTAAAAATTAACTAAATGCTTAAAATTTTCTTATATCTCCAGTATTTACATCCTCCATTTTCAGTCGAGCAGTTGCTTTTCCTTCATTTTATAGGGTTTATTATAAATTTTTAAACAACTTTAAGCCCAGAATAATGCTTGAAATGCTTACGAATCTTAATTAATTGCTTAAAAGTTTACATAGCGCTACATGAAACCTTCATGTAGCATCTCAATACTGTTTGTTAGCTATATTAATAATTTTTAAAGACTTTTTTAATACTTTAAATTACCTAAAATTAAAATATATTTAGTGAAATGTAAGGTATGATGTTCGTATATATCATTTAAAACTCTCCTCATAGCTGCACTGTAAACTGATAGCGAAAATTTTCTCATGTTTAGATGAGGAGAAACCTTTTCTCTGTATCGTTTTATCAGGCTTCCTTTACATGTAGCTATGAGCTAGAATTTCCAAAAGGATCTTATCGTACCAGATAAGTTTAGAATTATCAACAAAATTATCAGTATTAATTGGCTTGCAATTTAAAAAAATGCAACTTATGATATGTCTAAGCTTAATTTTAAAGTGAATTATTGATATTTTGCTAAAAATTATTTATCGAAATTAAATTTTAAGGCTTTTAATAATTAAATTTATTATAATTTTAAGCGTTTAAACCCAAAAATACTGGAAGAAAATGGAGAATCGTCAGCCTAATTGGCTTGTCATTTAGAAGGTGTATGATGTCTTACCGATGTGTCTGAACTTATTTTATTAACAAT